TAAGCTAGAAACTTCCTGAAGATTATACTGGTCGACAAACACCTGAAGAAGAGCTGAGGTTACAATAACTGAAACGTTGTGCTAATAAAAACACGGTTGACAACATTAGTCCGAATGTAAATAATGTAGCAATACTTTATCCAACATATGGAATGGTTCCGAAGGAATTTGTCAAATATAATGAGACAAAGAAGGACAAGGGAAAAGCCGTCTAGACAACAACAATTCTAAAATCGGAAAGAATATAAAGAAAATTGTTAAAGCGTTGAGAAGACGAGATGTTACGACTGGTATGAAAAGTCAATGAGTTGAAGAATTAGTCCCAAAAAGTGATTTGCATATAGAAACTAAATAATGTGAAAAAACAAACAAAATTAAACATCAAATTTTGAAGTGGAGAGTTATTGGATATTTCTGTTGCTAAAATATTAAATCTAAGCGACTTTTAGATCGAAGACCATCAAAGGGTTTAGTTTCTTTAAACTCAAAGCGAGAAAATCTCCATTTTCAAATGTTTGTGTCGTTTCATACAGAAAAGCATAAAACATTGATTTAAAGACTTAATTTAAACAACAAAGACAGGCTATTTTTGGAAACGGTTTAACCAGTTTCGGCAATATATATATATATATATATATATATATATATATATATATATATAAATGTATATGTGTAATACAATTTTTATAGATAATATTTATGTATTATATATGCGCGGTAGTTATTGAAAAGCGCTCAATATCAGTGATAGAGCTAACATATTTAGTTGGATTGATGTGAGTTTGTGACCCTGGGATTCACCTGCTTTGCGATCGTCAGAAAAACTTGTTGCTTAAATTACGTCTTTAAATCGATGCTTTTTTTTGTTTTTTTTTCTTACTTACGATGGGGTCTGTGTAAGACTATGGTAGGTAAAATTGCTATTATTTAAAAAAAAACAGACGAATAGAATGTGGAATGTGTGTGAACGCGTGTGCATACGTATATATGTGTATAAGAAAACATTATTCTGCGAACAAAATAGACGAACGCTCTGTGCATTGATACTGTCACTTGGAAAATGTTCGCTACACAATCCAACATTGAATACATCGTCCAGTTGCCTACGTATGAACGCAACGACGCATTGATGCGCATATACGCCCACTCCCACACTGTTCATATATGTTTATGTTTGTGTGAGCTGCAATGCTTGCACGTGCGTGTATGTATATCTGCATTTTTCTTTCCACTACCATAAAAAACGATATACGCAACCATAAATAAATCCAAAATTTCAAAATTAATCAGTTTGTCTGACGATCGCAAAGTGCGTGAAACCCAGAGTCACAAACTCACATCAATTCAACTATATATATATATATATATATATATATATATATATATATATATATATATAGAGAGAGAGAGAGAGAGAGAGAGTTTAGATGTTCTGTCTACTTATTTTCGATAAGATCCTTTCATACACGAGCATAAGTTTTGGATGTCATTACTGAAAGACGAGACAAAATCGCTGTGTTTATACATATACCGACGTAGAGTTCTTCACTCCATTTGTAAAAAAATTAATTTTCAGATGTCATAACAATTTATCACTGACAATAATGGATACTCTAATATTTATTTTCGTAATAGGCTTCGATAACTTTGAAATTAAAACTGAAGTTGTTATATTTACAAGAAAAAGAAAATGATTCATTAAAATTTAATTCACATTTATTGGTACCCACCTTATATATATATATATATATATATATATATATATATATATATATATATATATATATATATATATATAACGAATCGACCGAGTTTAAACACTGATGATTTTATTCAATCTCCTCGTAATTTCTGCTTCTAATTTTAAATTTATTAGCAGCATGGCCCGGCGTTGCCTGTGCTTGATTAAAAAATCGTACGACTCATACAGCAATCACTATCACTTGACTTAAAAATATTTTTGCCCTTCCTTGCCTTTAAATGAGTGCCCTTAGCCGTGCTGATGTTGCTACATGCCTTATTTCTTGCCTATCTCACAATGCGAATTTTTCTAAGCTCTATACTAAACATTAAATCTGTTACGAAAAAAGAACTAAACAAAATGAACACAAAACGATCAGCTTTAAAAAAGGACTCGTAACTGGAAAAACCGAATGAAAAAAGAATGTTAACAACAAATACTTTTTCACACCCAACCCAGTTCTGCGGAATCAGAATCAACGTTGAGTTTAAGCAAGCGAATGAGCCAATTGGAGTAAAGTGCCATGCAGATTTAAATTTTTCCCACTTGTGACGAATGCAGCTATCGATTTGTTTTTGCATGCTAGCATGCTAGTTAATATTCATGTCAGTTAGCTGTTGGCTTTCACGCTGGCCAATAGAATCCTCCTGCCTATTCGTGGCAGCCAGCTATAGTCTCTCACTCTGGCTAGTACAGAATGGCCGCAAACTACACGAAAACTGCTGTAGAAGCATATAAATATCGATTATTTCCACTATCGATAGGAGTTGGGAAATGCAAAATCGGTCTTGGCCTTCCAACTAACTTGGCGCATATGCATGTAAAGTTTGGTGCAAATCCGTCGAAAATTGCGGCCGTGCATTCGTTACACACACACACACACACACACACACACACACACACACACACACACATACTGCCTTTTATAGACAGAGATATATTTTTTGCTTTTAATTTCTGCTGTTTTCTTTTAGAAGTTCCTTGGAAACTCAATCGACCATCTCACTCACTCAATTTTCGAATTTTGCACTTTGTCATTCTTTGTAACTCTCCTATGTCCTTTAAGTTTATTTATTTATTTTTTTGCCAAAACTCCACTTCCCATTTTGTAATCTGCAATTTCTTAAAAGTGTTTCCCCCCTTATAAAGCTTCTTTATATCGGGTTCGGTTTCGGGTCAAGTTGTCATCATTTTACTCTAAATCTGTTCTACCCTTCTTGATATATCTTCTGCTAAAAATTGCTTTCCTTGTCCTTATTCAATATCCTCGGGTTTGTATTATTTATTGCTTTGTGTGTTAAACTCTCGCTTTCTACCTTTTCTCATTCATTCTTTACGACGATCTGTAGATGTCCCCTCGGCTCGGATACACTCATCTCTAGATATCGGATATCTTAATGCCATATCGAGAGAAGAACCTAGAAAGGTTTTCAAGAGCTTTCCAGCTTCAGTCAGCCGGACACCTGTTATGTCCTCTCTCAAATGGACAGGAAATGGAGACGATCTTAGAAACCAGTAAAAGGAATGGGGGCCTCTTTTAAACACCCCTTGTCAAAGTCGCTTGATACATGCAATTTTATTTACTTCTTTTTTATTTCATGGGTAAAGATATTTTTTATGATTTTTTTTCTGGCTTCTAACACCATGTTACCTTCTTCGACTTCTTTTTCTTTTCCGTTTCTTCATCTATTCTTCATCTATTCTTCATCTATTCTTCATCTCCCTGTGTTCTTCTTCTTCTTCTTCTTCTTCTTCTTCTTGTCTTCGACGTATCTTCGTCTTTCCTTCCTCTTGTTTTTCTTCTTTTCTTTTCATCCTCATTCTTCTTTTTTCTGCTTCTCTTCCTTTCTTCTTCTTCTTCTTCTTCTTCTTCTTCTTCTTCGTCTTCTTCTTTTTCGACTTTTCATCTTCTTTCTGTCATCTTCTTTTCTTTTCCTCCTCCTTTTTCTCCTTATTTTCTTCTTCTCTTCTGTTTTTATCTTCATTTTGTTCTTTTTCATCTTTTTCTTTTCTTTTCATCTACTTTTCTTTTTCTATGTACCCTGTCCCTTCAGAAAAGGGCTGATTATGGCTCCCCACAGCTCCCTATCATTTTTAGCTCTTCGTAAGTTTTATCTTTTTGCTATCTCTGTTCTGTGAACCATTCACAGAAACTCGACAGGGACATTCTTTTTGGCTTTCCTTTATTTCTCTTGTCATCTCTTTATCTCTTGTCTCTCAAATTTTCCGAATACACTTTAATTATTATATGCCATAGATATTTCAATTGTCTATTCCTAATTATAAGTGCCACCATTTACCATAAAACTTCCTCGTTTCTCTCATGTTCAGTCCTTAGTATACTCAGCCTCCTTCTGTAGAACCATAGTCTCTTCGTCATCCGTATGGAAATTATCCAGTTTTTTAGAAAGAAAGGGAAGAGTGTTGATTTGCTATGTAATATCAATCCGCTCCTATTGTAGGTTGTCTGCCCATGAAATTTCAACTCTCCTTTTTGTTTCTGAGTAGTGTCTCACATGTTCAGCTGACATTCATATTCCAAGCATCCTTCTGTAGAACCACATTTCTCTTGCCTCAAGTCTCTCCTTCATCTGTAAAGAGATTGCCCAGCATTCAATGCCATATATAAGGACTAATACTACGTAATAGTTCAGTACTTATTTTTGGATACAAAGATGACTGACCTGCTCTAAACTAATTGCTAGAAATTGTCCACTCACGACGGATAGGACTTCTGATTAGGAAACAGAGTCGCCATGTGTGTTTCAAAGTGGGTTTTACGTAACCGTTCAGTATTGGTTTATATTTTAGAGGTGAGGTATTGTGATTATTTAGATTATTTACATTGTCCGGACTCTTGTGCTGACGTACCTGACCACGTATGGAGGGAAAAGGGAGACCGCCCCCCCTATTGGATCAGGTTTAAATAATAAACAGAGATTATCATTGGGACATACGAAAACTTAAGGATTTATATATGTATGTAAAAAAAGAAATTAAAAAAAATGGTGAATATGCATATTTTAATTTTAATTTTTTTTTAAATATAATTTTCAAATATAATTTTTAAACATAATGTGATATGGCCATAATCCCTTTATACCGCCCACATATCCAAGCTTACAGCATCTGGTATTCCGAAGCGGTGACTTGTCTAGGTACTGACCAAGCTTGACTGCTTAACTTCAGTGATCATACGGTAACTGGTATTGCAACATAATATGTCCGTAACCCATTTATGCTGCCTGAACATCAAAGCCAGCATTACCTGGTATTCTCAAGCAGTCACCCATCTAGGTACTAACAAGGCTCGACGTTGCTTAACTTCGGTTAGCATTCGGAAACGGGTGTTTCAACGTTATATAGCCGTATGCCTTTTAAACCACCCGCACATACAAGCTTGCAGCATCTGGTCTTCCCTAGCGGTCACCCATTTAGGTCGCCCAGGCTTGATGTTGATTACTTCGGTTATCGTACGGGAGCCGGTGTTTCCACGTAATGTGGCCATGAGCCCTTTATACCACCCGTATATCCAAGATTGCAACAGCTGGTATTCACAAGCGGTTAATTGTTTAGGTACTGAGCTGACTCGACGTTGCTTAAGCTCAGTGACCATACGGGAACCTGTGTTTCAACGTGAAACGGCCTTAGGCCCCGTTTTATGGGGGTAGTCTTTAAATGAAAAATTGAAAAGAACGTCTTTCCATATTGAATCTACCATAATAGTTATCAGAGCCATTTTTCTTTTATTTTTGTGTTGCTGTGAAAATAATTAAAAATAAATAAGGAAGCTTTTCTTACATTAATTTATGAGAAAGCTTTTCAAGAATACTCTGAGGTCATACAATGTTCTATTTTCGTTTAAACGCAAAACTATGTGAGGAACATTGTATTTCAGAAGGGGTAAAACCTGGAAATATCTTTTTTGCGAAATAACATCAAGATCACTTAATGTCTGCAAAAGATTTGAAGTGAACCAAGAGCGGTCATTTTTCATCAAATTCTCATAAATATTGTATTAAAAAAAAAGCTGTAATTTAAAAAACAAAAAAACATTGGTTTGTTCATTCGTGTAGATTTATTTGTTGTAATCATAATATATTTCAATTATTTATTAGACAATTGACATATTCAAAGCAGAGTCAGACCTCCTCCCTACTATGGGCTAAATAGTAGGACGCGTCTCTAGAAAAAAATTTGTTATTCTCAAAGTTTTAATGCAATATTCACACCTAAAAAAACAAGAATTACTAGTCATAGAATCCACCTGAACATTTTTAGCAATACAACTTAAGATAGTAAATGAATATTTACTGAGGTGTGGAATTGTTTTCCGATATAAGGTGGGTGATATGCCTGTGGTATTAGTTAGATGATATGTCTGTGATATGAGGTGGGTGATATGTATATGACACTAATTTGTTATATGTCTTATTTTAAGTGGGTAATATGTCTGCGTTATTAGGTGGTTATATATATGACGTGAGGTGGGCGATATGTTTCTGGTGTTAGGCGGGTAATATGTCTAATATTAGGTGGGTGACATGCATGTAATACGAAGTGTGCGATATGTCCGTAATATGAAGCAATTGATATATCTCTCACAATTGTCTAAGTGTTTGACTCCCGCAGACAGACACAAACATGGCCACCAGATACACATACGCGTACGCGCACTCATGTCATCACTCAAAACCCATGAGAGCAAAAGACATCCTAGTTCCATCTTTATGAATGGTCACAGAGACACTACTAGACTAAGAAGAAAATGGCCGTTAGAATCCAGACATAGACACGCGCATATACAGACGAACGCACACACACGCACGCACACCCACGCATATATACTTATTAAAACCAGAAGAGAAAGACACTTGACGTCTATCCCACCAATAAAAAAATGATCATAGAACTAAAATTACCGGCAATTTCTCTTCTATTATACATTTCACAAAAAGATTCTGATGAAGCTTACATTAAATCGAAACATGTTGAATTTATGAACGTTTCGTATTTGTTCCTTATTTTATCATTGTGTTGGATTAACACAATGATAATCATATAAGCAATAAGATTGATGATATAGGCCTTTTGATTGAATCGAAGCAGGAAGATATTCCTTCTGCTTCAATTTAGTCAAAAGACACACACACACACACACATATATATATATATATATATATATATATATATATATATATATATATATATAAATATATATATATATATATATATATATAGATAGATATATAGAGATATATAATAAATATCATCAATCTTATTGCCAATATTGTTATCATTGTGTCCTTTTTTTATTTCTCAAATTTCATTAATAGGACTTTTTAAATCTAAATAGAAGTATTATCGTTTTAATCACACACACACACACATACACACACACACACACACACACACACACACACACACACACATATATATATATATATATATATATATATATATATATATTCAGTTGTACGCATATCAGTTTGTAACTCTGTTTTTCACGCTTCTGCGATCAGAGAAGAAACGTGAAATCCGGGGTTGTAACCTATATCTAAACAACTGAATGTATTAGCTCTATCACATATATTGAGCATTTTCCACTAAGTACCGCGCATAATATATATATATATATATATATATATATATATATATATATATGTGTGTGTGTGTGTGTGTTTGACAAAATATAAAATTTCTTGTAAAATTTTGCAGTTTGTCATACATATATATATATATATATATATATATATATATATATATATATATATATATATTTGTGTTTGTGTGTCTTTATGCGCGCGCATGTGTGTGTGTGAGAGAGAGAGAGAGAGAGAGTATGCCTACAAGTGATGGCTAGTAAGATGATGGTGCAAGAATTTACAATTGAAGCACTACGATTTCTCCGACATGAGTTCTTTCGTTTTTTTCAGACAAAGTTCAAAATATGTAAACAACTACTTACCTACAGACGCATATATACCTACATGTGCATATTTTCTACCTATGAAAAGGGCTTTAGTTTAATATTCACTCCTCTGGTGAAATATTCCCAAATAAAACTGTCTGGGAAGGCCAATGATTTTTTAGCAATGTCACGCAGCATGTGCAATCATCAAACGCAAAACAATGTCGCATCTAGAAAGCGGAACGTGTGTCAGTTTCTGATGATTGACACATCAAAGCAAATTCAAAGACACAAACACAGAAATGGACACATTTTCTGAGGACTAACTTTCCATCATTTCGTTTTTTTTTTATTTATTACATATGATATTGTCAACTAACCTGATATCTCCCATGCAATATCGACAATTGAGTACAGGGTAACTTTATAAATTCACGATGAAAATATTCATTAGTTGATAAAATGTTTAAAATACTTAGAAATTCTTGATAAAATTCCAAAAATCTACAATGAGATTAGTCCTGACCTCGGCTTACATCACATTCCCAGTGCAGATTTAACGAAAATAACTGACTTCTACTTAAGACATGAAAAATAAGCATTCCTTATATGTCTGAGGTGTTTCTATCATTCAGTACCCCTTTGTAAAATATATATATATATATATATATATATATATATATATATATATATATATATATATATATATATAGTGAGAGAGAGAGAGAGAGAGGAAGAGAGAGAGAGTTAAATTTAAAAAGACAAACTTATGATTATATTTTTAACACATAGATTATATTTTAGATCACATTTATATCTCAGATCACATTTACAAGCATAAAAGATGGTTTAAAAATTTACATATTATTGTCATACAAGTTTTTGAGGGGGTAGTTTTAAGTTGATGTAAGATGATAGAGATAGTGAGATGGGGAGGACGACCGATATGATCGAAATTAGAGAGGGAAAGGAAAGATAGGAATATGTTTAAATCTATCTTTTTAAGATACGTAAGGCCGGTAGGGTAAGATGCCAGACATTTTGACCTATTTAACAAGTCCTTTCACAGGAAAAGGAAGGAAGACAAAGAAAAATATGAAGAAAAGACACAAGACATAATAGAAAAAAATTGGGAAGCATTGAAAGAGGAAAAGGAAGAATAAATTATCAAATATAGGCGTAGTGCGGTTAATTTTAAAAAATACAGATTAATATAACTTACAGTTAACACAAGATATTATTTTAAAGATTACCAACAAAATTAAATAAGATAAAAATGTTTTAATATTATTAATATTATTAATAACAACTAATAGATAAAATTTAGAATTTAAAGTTAAAATTCAAAGTTTAAAACAACTTTAAAATTCCAAATAGTATCGAAAAAATATCGAAAAGAATAATATTTTTAAAGAAATAATAATAATAATAATAAACTAATGTTGTTTAGTAATGAGGTTTTCTAAATTTATTCTAGACTCACATATATACGTGCGTAACTAGATACATACATACGTACACACACATATATACATACATGTAAACTAATCAAGTAAAGCATACAAATATGCACACACATATATATACACATATATATATATACGTAAATATATACTTATACACATATACACACAAATATATACATGAATACAAATATATACATATATATATATATATATATATATATACATGCACGCGCACACACACACGCGCGCGCACACACATATACTAATATATATATATATATATATATATATAATAATAATAATAATAAGAAGAAGAAGAAGAAGAAGAAGAAGAAGAAGAAGAAGAATACCAATGAGAGGAATAACGATAGATTGCTGATAATGATGAAAAAGGTAATATTAGATCAGTTATAACACATTTAACCATATATACCATTACACTCCTGATCAAAAATTTATGATCACTTGAATTTTTTTTTTAAAAAAACTGTTTTTAATGGAAAAATTTTAAACATTTCTTACTTCAGGTTACTAATTTTATAATCTAAAAGGTTATGTAGACAAAAAGTTACAATCCGAAAATTTTATTGAGAAATTGACATTTTTATAAAATGAGGCATTTTACACTTAATCAAAATTATAAGACCAGAGACAGCAAAACTTCTAGGAAACGGTAAAGTGTAAGAAAACATACAACAACCAAATTTAATAATGAGTTCTACCGCCACTGGTTTTGATGACTTCTTTGGGCATGCTAGAAATTAGTGTTTCCATTAAGCTGCGAAGAATATTGCTCCAGCTTCTGAAGATAGCTTTACGAAGTTCATTTTTTTTGTTGAATATTGTTTGCCATTTCGATAAACATCTCTTGCCATCCATCCCCAAACATTTTCAATTGGTTTCAAGTCCGATGAGCATGCAGGATGTCTCAAGAGATGGACCCCATTTTCTTGTAGAAAGGTCAAGGTCCGGCATGCAGCATGGATTGCAGCAT